TATTTCCCTATAAATGTTAGTACCAAATATATTCAGCATAGAAAAAAGCATTTACTCTCTTTTTTCTTCTTAAAGATTGTTTAACAGTATTTTTTGTGAAAGTATTGCGATGAATTAGTCTTTTCGTTCGTATGTTAAATGATAGATTTTGTCGACATTCCTGTTCATTTAAAATGATAGGAAATTATTTTTAGCTCAGGATGAGGATTTTTGTAAGTTTTATGTTTAATCATGAAGCTCTTCATTGTCTTTCTAGACAACACATTGTCAGCACATATTTCGAAACTGAAGTGTGTACATGTTTAAAGGGGGGGTAGTGGTGGTGATGATGATGCGGGTTTCATACCTATGACCTACTTATTGATAACTAAGTGATCTTTTTATATTCACACACATATATATCCACACTAAATCTCTAACATTTCCGATACACATATGAGTTCTTTTGCTAATGTGTAAATCCATATTCCAAACTTTGTTCACTGTATCATAAGCCCATTTTAAGAGAGTATCGATTACCACTTGACCTAATTATCGTCATTTTTTTATTGTTATTCATCGACTAAAAATAGAACTATTATTATACCATTCAATACCAATTCAATGTTTAAACCTAAGATCTGAATATCTTGGATGGAGTCACATGGATACGTACTACTAAAAATGAATATACATTAGATTAGACAAAACAATTGTTCACTGTTCCATTCTTCCTTTTATTTTCTTATTTAAATTTTCAATAACACACTAAATGATATTAATTAATGATGAATATCCTTAACACAAATTCTATTATACGTTTAAAAAGAAAACAAACAAACAAACATTTTTCTTATTTTCATTCGTGTCTATTACACTTAATCCTATTCTATTTATTTATCGTTAATGAGTTCATGGATAGTTTACATAATTTATTATTTATTTATTCTTATATTTATCATAAACCACATCATATACATTTACATATAATATACTTATATACATTGTTCATGATGACATTGATTCTATATTGTGAAATTTTTGTGATAGGGTAATATTTCATTGATAGTTCTATAGAGAATTATTCTTCTGATAATCATTTATTGTATAATAAAGAAAATAGATCAGGATAAATAAATAAATAATTGATAACATTGAATATTATAATACTGATTAATATTGTACTATATGTAATATGATCAGTCAGTCAGCTACAACATAGGATCAGACACATTTATGCATCGGTCCAAGTTGTCATACCCGCATTAGCACAGCGAAATGAACACCGGATACATAGGAGTAGTTAAGTTAATGGTGGTAAAAGAAAAATTGCATATAAAGATATAGTACAGGAAGAAAGATCTAGTACGTTGAAAGAAAGATATGAAGCGATTTTAATCTCTTAGTTTAAGGGAATACAGAGAGTATATAATGTAATATGATGCCTTTATATATATATATATATATATATATATATATATATATATATATATATATATATATAATGTTATTAGAATTGTGTAACTTTTAAAACTCTAATCCATTAATGTTATACGTAAATGTATACTGGTTCATTCTGTATAGATTGTTTTGTTTAATTCATTGAGTGAAATTATTAATATTAATAATATTGATTAGTTGTAGTAGAAGATAATCATATTGGAAAGAAATAAACGACTGTGATTTTTCTTTATCTACCTTTAATTTATGAGTTTTAATATCATTTTATAATTTTTAAATTGAGAAATTATTAATTTTAAGTAGAGGGAATCCAGAATGCTTATTTCGTTCTACTAGGGTTTCATCAGCTGGATTTATTCGCATCATTCCTGTGTTAATATCCACTCTTGAACTCAAATCTAGTACCGTTCATTTCAAGCGTCAATGTGTCATTCACCTAGGTAGTGAGTTCAAATAGCCACTTAGAGTCACGATATGAACAACAATTCTGTGATACAGATACATTCGACTGATAGATCCCGAATAGAACGAAGCGCTTGCCCTGAATTTCACAACTAGCTTCTATCCATCTCTAGTTATAATACTTGTGACTTAATGGGAATATTGTGGCAATCCATAAAGAATGCACATATGCCAAAAGTGACTGATCAATTGTAGTCTTGAACATCAGTGGGAAGATCCAAACAACTTATACATATATATATATATATATATATATATATATATATATATATATATATATATAAAATTGAAATCATTTATTTCAAGTAATATCGTCTACATCTAATCTTTTCTACCACTACTAATGATATTAATAGCTCAACTATTTCGGCACATTTGATATGATTCTATTTCAATCTACTAATGTATAGTATGGTACTTTGGACAGTTTTATGTAAATCTGAGGTTTTACGTTGTCTTTGACTGACTGATTGACTCGATAGATCGACTTATAATTGGTTGCAGTAATCGCATAAATCTATTCAAATACATTCCTTAAGATTTTGATTGTCATTCCTTCTTTGCAAACTAGTGTCAAGTATTTGTTCACTAGTAGTACTGTCGTACATACTACTTAAGCTGACAGATATAAGTAGTATTTAGCACCAGTCGGAAGTGGAATGCCTGTCAGCAAAAAATTGAATTAATGAGAACATAAAGGGAAACAGAGAAATTGTAATGACAACGGAATTAAAAGAATCACGAGGCATACAAAGGACAACTGAAGGAAGATGTATAAATAATATATTTGATCTATGATTATTATATTTTACGAAAACACTGTAATTTTGCATTAAATGATAAATTGGTTTTCTCCATTGAAAAATTCGTTCACTATTGTACTACTAACAATCTTTTTCTTTTGACTCTTGTATTTATCTAAGTGTTTAGATAGATAGTAGAAAATATGAACTAAATGCATATTTTTTTATGTTAACCAACTTTAATGTTATTTACGATTGTAAACTTTTATTAACGAATCAATGGAACACTGAACAATCTCAATAGTTAGTTTATGAAATGAAAACACAAAGGAATTTTCATTTCTTAAATTATTCTATATATATTGTAAATGTTTCATAAATAATAATAGTAATAATAATGATTATTTTTAATGGCTTTATTCAATATTTTTGGTACAATATAGAATTCTCAGCATAAAGTATTTCAACAAGTTTCATTTTCTTACTTCTTGATCGATATTTGTGATAAATATTGTGTGATCGCCAGTAAGATGTTGACAGTTCAGGAATCGACATATGAATAGTGTCCATCCTTTTCAATCCATATTGCCAACCGTCACTATGTCTCTGATGATTGTACGTTTTTGTGACTTGTATAATGAAAAGTCGTGAACTTTTCATATACGCACCTGAATAGGTTATACGATTAATAGACATTATGATATGTTAAAACAAATAAAAAGATAAATCGATTGTTGAAATATCCAGATGGTAGGAACGGGTAACCTAGATATTTAAGCAAGCTGCCAAGTATAATACACGAATAAAATATCCTCTTGATTGATTTATATGTCCATTTCAATGAATTACTTTAAATATATTGATTCTCTTTTAAATTAGTTGCTTGTAAAATCTATTTGACACACTATCATGTGTATAAAACCAATCGATTGTGTAATGGATGTAATTCCACAAGCTAAAATCAATTCGAACATTGTTCTTCTGTTTATTTTATTTACTTCATATACATACATTCTGTTACAACAAAGTTATCAAAAAAAAGTATGCACCATAAAAATAAAAGAGAGAAGGGTAATATAATCAGTAAATAAATGAATAATATTGTATTTTTAATAGGAGATGCAGTAAGATTGCCATTAACTTCTCTTCTGAATCATATCTAACAACACTTTAAGCTATCTTTAGGACTTCAATTGAGGAGTCGTGATCACAACTGAGTTATTAGTTAATCATATATAAAGTACATTTATTATGGAGCGGTGGTTTAGTGTGTTCGATTTTCAACAATTAAATCCCTATCTCGAACCATGATCCACTTATTTCTGTTAGGGTAGCTAGGTAGCATCACTAGCTCTCACGCTTAAAATGTGGCTTACGTCCAAGTACTTGGTGAATGAGATCATTGTAATAACAGGTGCCAATTCTGAACAACACACTTTTCTACCACGGCATTTTGTCATAAACTGACCAACTCCACTTTTCCCAAAGTTTCAGAGTCAGCGAATAATGCGCAAAGTGCAAGTCACTGGGACGATATTTATAAGATATATCCAAGTCACCGAATCTGGTGTTTTAAGATGATAAAACCAAATGAGTTGTAACTGTGACCGAAAACACGACATCATTACTAATATGATTTTCCTGCCGAACGTCAGCAATCCTTCGGAGACAACGATGATCAAATACAGATAATAGACGGTATCCTCAATTTAGATCCCAGGTTTTATAAACATAGAAGTGAACTACTCTGAAAAATCCGTTGTAAACCCGACCGTTTACAGCAAGATTAACATCGTGACGGCTCTAGTTATAGCCTGCATATATATAAGCCACAACTCCTTTTACTACACGTAGATAAATATGATTATTCCCGCCACCACCAGCACTCATACCATCCAGCAACATGAAATTTTTAATTGTTTTTAACTACTCACCATACAAAGTGAATGTAGGCACAGATCCTGCCAGTTTCCCAGAAGTACTTTACATTTAGGCGCAAAACACATGTCATACGGATACTAAATATACTATGTATCTAGACATGTACATGATGGCATACACTTTTAACTTTGTTTCGAGCGTGGACATTTAGGTATCACAAGTTCGAGAGACAGATTACTCCTAGACCTAATTCATAAACGAAATTTTTTTCTGTGTAACCAAATCTTTTTTAAAGCATTTGTACCATATCCGGTTTTTTTTCTTCCTTCACTATGAAAACATAACAGACAATAGGTTTATTTAGAAACAAATTAAGTTAAATGTATCATGATTTTAGTTAAAGTGATTTTTCTTTGAATTTTTTGTTATTTCCAGTCTCCAATGTTTGTTTCCCTTTTTACTTTCAAATGACAGGAAATTACAACCACATCCACCTACACGTACAATGATCTTATCACATGATCTCGATACAGCTGCCTTACTTGCTAATCATAGTAACAGTAACATTAATTCTAACGTGAATTTAAGTTTTAACCAAATTTTAAATGGTGGAAATAATATATCAGATTCTATGCAAGAACATTCTCACTGTTCAACTACGACATTGTCAGTTCCATCAGATTTCAATAATAATTTACCGTCACCCCTATTGCCTATATCATCAAACTTCAACTGGGGCGCATTGAACAACAGTCAAGAATGGCTGAGATTGGCTAATCTTGGTTGTGATAACTTACGACCCTCATCATTAACAGCATTTCGTGAATTATGGCAATTATCTGATCGAGAATTTCGGAAAAATAATTTATTTCTAGCCGCTCAATTAGTTAAAGCTCATCAAAATTTAAACAACCTTACATTATCTACAGATAACGATGCAATTAATACAAAGGTAAGTTTACTTTTTATTAATAGTTAATTCCATGAGTCAATTTAAGCCAGATCACCATGGAAAACCTGGAAGTATGGGACTCCTCAACAGTGCGCATCCACGACCCCGCTCGTGAGATTTGAACCTAGGACCTTCGATTTCACGCGCGAGCGCTTAACATATAGACCACTGAGCCGGCATCCAACGCTGTTAATGTCTACCTCCAACCAATCCATGAAATTGCGCCACCGTCTTCAGTGAGTTATTATCTCACAACAGACCCGGTGGTACTGCACTGGTCACGGCTTCTCACTAGAACTTCAGGGTTCATGAGTCAACTTATTTTTGTCAGTAGGCCAAGAAATTTAGAATATTTTTATTATGAAGAAAAGTTACGATAAGTCAGTCGTTATCAACGTACAGCCTAGTACAATGCGCTAGTTATAGCTCAGGTCAAAATACTTTATAATCCTTAACTACAGCCTAATTCGACGCGCAATATCTACGGATGTGTGAATAAGCTAGAGAGAAACTAAAGGCAACCAATCAAAGGCGTCGAACCATTCACTGTTGAAATGAACTATGTTAATAGGTGATCAACTGGTCGAAATCCGCGCAATTACCGTGAACAATTATTGGAGATACTGGATGACAGCTCACGATGGTATAGGTGCATATAACGCTCCCACGAAATCCTGAGTAATTCTATCTTAAAAACCCTCTAATCTTATTCATTTTCTTCATGACATATCACCTCTATTTTTGATCTTTATTTCTGCCACCGCCGCTACAATTACTATTTCTACTATCATTTCGTCATCTGTTTTGCAAATTCTCGCAGCGATTTCGCTAGGTTTGCGTACGTTCCAAATTCTACGGCGCTTATGACTGGTCTGACGAAAAAACGCTTAAATACAGTGTTGATAACATGACAAACTATCTGATATTATTCATATCATGCAGCATTCTGAACCAGAGGAGCTTCAACAATACAGGTTATCCAATTTGGATCGTCTGGAACTTGAAAGAGTTTGGCCAACTAAGAGATAATATTTAGAATGGTGGCGAATCGGCTGTTGAGAGGCAAATATTTACCTACTGAAATGGTTGGTACGTCTAACCACCGCCTACTTTGACGACTAGGTGTAGAGGTGATTTGGGAGAATGATACCACTGACCATTGATTCGGGTTAATTTAGTAGGTTTAGACCACTGAATTAGGGTTCACGCGATCAGTGGTTCGAAATGTCAATTGAAACACATCAGAATCGGTCACAACAGCGCAAATGCATCTAACCCATCTTACCCTAGATTTCGAATTTCAGTATCTTTTCATATATATTTTAATGAAAAGCCTTTCTCATGCTACGACATTATTTCGATTTCTGTTGTTAGCGACTTTTGTACCAGACTCTACATTTGATTACCATTGAGTAAAAATGTTCCTTACAGGTGTGAAAATTAATTTCTAGTTGTTAGACTAATGACTATTCATTTAATGAATTATTTTTGCATAATCTAACTACTCTTTTTGTCACAATTTAAACGCATTGTTTAGAATGAAAACATAGGAAACTCCACACACGAAGAATCCCTTTCTACATCCGATAGCCCAACTGATTTAAGCGCCACTAGAAATGTCGGTGATTTTCCACTAAACCGAAAACACCGAAACACAGATCAACTATCTATATCACCCGTAACAATTTCAAGTGGATTATCACCGCCATTTTGGGCATCGAAATGTTCTCGATCTCCAGAAGAAGGAGAACAAGAACAAGCAGATAAACATAAAGAAACCACTGTGAAAAATCACTTTTTCGTAAATCCAACCACATTTTATGCAATGCCATCCTAGATTTTATTATTACTATAAAGATTATGATTTACTACCATTATTGCTCTTTCCCTTTTATTCCAATAAAACACATTTTAAAGAAAACAGATTAAAAATCATCATAAGACAAATACCCTCCCCTCCTAGATCTGATGAAACAATTAATAAAACAAACAATAATAATAACCGACCAATACAAACGCTATAATAATACACTAGAGTTAAATATTATTATTATTATTTCTACTATGTACAAGAATCATTCTTCAATATGAGAAAATGTTTACAGCAAAAACTAATGGTTTTTTTCAAAATTCTTAATATAATTTATATAGATATTGTTTATTCACAAATAATAACACAAAGATAATTAAAACAAAACAATGAATTAGTGAATGTTCAATTCTTTTTGTTTTTTTTTCAAAGAAAAAAATGCAAGTATAATAAAATAGCAGTAATAATAATAATAATAATAATACAATGTCGATTGAGTTAATGTTCACATATCAAAATCTATTCGTTTTGTAGTGAATCCACTTGGTCCAACTAATGTAACTGTACGTGATGAACTTGTTCCAGAAGTGACTGTGAATGGAGATGAATTAGCAACATATGTAGTCGTTGTACTGCCACCACCTGCTGGACGTTTTAAGCCCATTGTTAAATTGGCCATTGATGCACGACGTTCAGCAGAGCTTATCATTAGATTAACATCTTGTAAATCTTTACCAGTACTTCGACCGACTGTAAAAATAACTTTTTTCGGAGATAGGTTTACTTGTTGTTTAACTGGACTGATGAATATATTACGATTACTAGCTAAACGTCTAAAATTAAAAAGGTAATAAACTAGTTAGCACGAATTGATGATAAATTTATAAATAGGTGTAGATAGTTGTTACGATAGATCTAAATTCTTTCTTACTGTAGTAATGTGACAGGAATCCTTTTTGACTGGTTTTAAATGCGATAAATAAGACGTGTGTTTATACATTTTTATATTCCAGCCTTGATTCACTACCAGGTACACAGATTCGTTGCCTGAACCGAAGTAGGTGAAGCGGATTTCGAATTGCTAACTTAATGGCTAGAAGTTTAACGTCCAAGTCATACTAAACGACAATTTTATTTGTGAGAATGAATCTTAAGAAATTAACTTTAGTCAAAATAATTAGTCTAAAGTATAAGATAAACAAATAACGTAGACAGTTTTTCAATGCAAATTAAACATTGAGTGTAACAGTCACCATATAAAAACTCGACACATTTTCATTAGAGCCTGATAAGCATAATATCCTACTAATAGTTTAAAAGTTTATGCGATGATGGGAATGTTTTGAATTTTATCTATCCCTTATGATGCTGTCATAGTGTTGTAGTAGTTCTAAAACTCTTGGTTTAGTTAAGAGTAGTTATTTCAATATACATATATATATATATATATATATATATATATATATATATGCATAAATAACGAGTAGAATGTGAGCAATTTTTGTAGTACATTATTTATTCACTTACCTAGCTTGTATTATATCTCCCGATGTAGTTGTTGGATCAAGACCTAAATTGAGAGCCGCAGCAGAATTTGAAGCTAAATTGTTTACGTGCATAGGCATTGGAGATAATGATGGATGAAGCGTCCATTGATTCAATACAGTGTTATCATCGGTTGATAATGAATCAGAGCCCAATGAATGATGTCCTGTTCGACAATTAGGATCTGTTTCATTATATGTGGAACGTACAGATGCTGCCTTTTTAATGAAGTCTTTCATTTGTGGTAAAAATATAACATTGTAAAATCGAGACAAATCACCACGTTCTTCAGTATTGCCACGACCATAAGAAACTCTGTTGATGAGTACACGACGATATATATCTCGATAAGATTGAGGTTGCATTCTATACACCTGTAAATTGGATTAGAAAATTGGTTATGATTTTATACCTACACGGTGTCTTCCAATCCTTTTAAGTCTATTGAATCAACTTCATACTAACAAGTATCTAAAAAATCGATGATAATATAACATAATAATGCAGCGAATTAGTTATGTGCAAATTTTCATGAGCTTGATTTGTTACACAACGACTGTGGTATTACTTAACTAATCTTCACCCTCCGCCAAATGTTAGAACACCGCCATACTTATCAAAGGCCAACAATCGTAGTGTTTCTTGACATCAGGGCTGCCTTCGATTCGTTGGACAGGACTGTTCTCTGGGATTGTCTATTGAAGAAGGGTGTGCCTGAGAAGTTTATTAACATCCTAAAAGCCCTATACACAAACACCTCAGGCAGAGTGAGGGCATACAACCACCTTTCTCCGTTATTCCATTTGAGCAGTGGGGTTAGGCAGGGTTGCCCAATCTCACCATTCCTCCTCAACTTTGCCATCGATGACATTCTGGAAACAGCTCTGACGGATGTAAGTAATGGTGGTGTGGATCTGTTGCCTGGAGAAAGACTTCTCGACCTTGAGTATGCGGATGATATTGTCTTACTGTGCGAGAATGCCCAAGCCATGCAATCCGCACTTAATCAGTTGGCAATCAATGTCCGTAGGTATGGTATGTGCTTCGCATCTTCAAAGTGCAAAGTACTCCTACAAGACTGACAGGATTCTAATCTTGTACTCACTCTGGATGGTGAGCAAATAGAAGTGGTCGAGAAGTTCGTGTATCTAGGTAGCTGCATAAGTGCTGGTGGTGGCGTGAGTGATGAGATCAATGCACGCATAGTGAAAGCCAGAGCGGCTTATGCCAATCTGGGCCACCTTTGGCGCCTTCGTGATGTTAGTCTGGCTGTAAAAGGTCGGATCTACAACGCGTCGGTGAGAGCAGTTCTGCTCTATGCTTGTGAAACCTGGCCTCTCCGAGTTGAGGATGTTAGACTACTCTCTGTGTTCGATCATCTTTGTCTCCGAAGGATTGCTGGCATCCAGTGGCAACACCATGTCAGTAATGCAGAGGTCCGGCATCGTGTGTTCGGTCACAGAGACGATAATGAAATTGGTGTCACCATCTTGAAACACCGACTTCGGTGGCTTGGACATGTTCCACGAATGTCGTCGTGCATTATTTGCTGACTCTGGGACTGGTTGGAAAAAGCGGAGAGGTGGTCAGTGTATGACATGGTGTCGTGGTATGAAAGAAAGCTGCAAAGGGCTGGCTTGTGTTGGTCCTTCACGACTCCCTGGCTGGGGTTCGAGAGATGGTGTAACACAGTGACTAGAGACGTTATCAGATATGGCTCAGAATAGAAGCCAATGGCGATCCTGCTGTAACCTTCTTTTACTTTCTCCGTAAAAAGCGATTGCTTCTTCCTTAACTGAAAGATTTCTTCTGAGTGTACCTTTTCGTCTCCCCCCATTATTGTTCTTTTTTTAATCCCCTACGTTCCTTACCTTTTTTCCCTTCTTTAATTCTCTTTGTTTTGTGTGGCGCATATACATTTAATGCCCCCTTGTATCAATATTTATGTGTTCAAATAAATAAATAAAATAAATAATCTGGTCTAGGACAGGTGAAGTTGATATGCTTTGCACTTAATCAACTACTAACTTAAAGATTGGTGCAAAATCTAAAGACATGTGAGAGGAAATTTCTTCAAATGTTTGTAACACCATCCTATCGTAAAAAGGACCCATCTTCTGCATGTCATTTCCAAACAATATTGGGACTGAGCAATAAGAAAAAATCAAAGATTATGTTCCAAGAAATAGATTCGAAAAAGAATTTAGATTAAAAACACGTGATTTCATAAATAATTTTAATCATAGGCTTCTGTTCTACCTCTTGAGTCCCACTTTTTCATGAAGATTAGGAATGTAACACACCACCACCTTAAAGAGGAGAATATAGGATGCGAGTTCCAACCTACCATTTAATGACGGCAAACTGTCTAGCATCTACAATACTGATGCATACATACATATATGAGAATACCACACTTGTTTCTCATCCACTAACCTTGTATTCTGAACATCTGTACTTTAATTGGAATCATAAACTGATCTAAGTTAAACCACCTATGAAAACCCGGAAGCACTGGGCGACGGTCTCGTTCCAGTAGGAGACTCCTATGTAGTGACATCCACGATCCGTCACGCGGGAACGCTCGCTAAACATCTAGACCAGTGAGTTGGCATCCAACAATGTTAGTGTCAAACAACAATCAATTCACGACATTGCGCAACTAGCTCCCAATGATGGTCTAACCTAGGTTGGTTAATAATTTCAATGAAACTCAACAACCCCCTACTGAACACTTGTAGTTCGTTAATTAAATTCGTCCATCATTAGCATCACACAAGACAACTTATAAAAATCTTTAAGAAACCTAGGAAAAAATAACTCTGAACCACTTACTTGAACTATATCAACAAACGTAAGCGGACGATAAAGAACAAGTTTGCATATACCATAAATGCAACACATTATAACTTGGTCTATACAGCGGTCTCTAAGCAGTTCAGTCTCATGCACAATTACTTGTTCTATACATGTCCAAATTTTTGCCATAAGTTCACGAGTAAGACTTAAACGTTCGCATAAATCTCTTAAACGTAAACTGGCCATTTGATATGTTTGTCGAAAAAATATGGCAATTGAATCATGTCGAATAGGGAAATAATTAATTGTATTGCCGGAACCAGATGTAACAACAGTATTATTACTACTACTATTAACGGTGGTAGTAGCACTAGTCACAGTAACTGCGGTGTTAACAATGTAATCATCAACTAATTGCTCTGTTATCGGTTTCACATCAATATTCACATTATCCTGATTGATGCCAACATCATCTGGTGTTCCAAGAAGACCAGAATCTATATTAACTGAATCAGTAGCTCCACTTGCAAGTAGTTGAGCTGCTGCTTGAGCAGATTCATCTTCAACTCCCGATGAAAGTAGCCGATAGATACCAGGTTGATTTGTTGAAAATTCAATGTTTTGTTGTCGACTAACTGATACTTTGGATGTAATACTATTACTGTTATTATTATTATTGTTAC